AAAACTCACTGCCCCCTTAGGTTCCTGTCTAATCTTTGGTGTTGGCTGTTGTCAATTTGATCGTGTATAGATAGTTCTTAAAAGAGCATAATGCTTAAGGCTGACCTTTTTCACTAGCTAAGCTAAACTATTGTTTGATTTTAAGATGACTTCTGGGATATTTTGGGTTTAAGTTTTAAAGATTGTCTCAGGATGGTAGTTTCAGGATTTCATCTACTCTCCATGGCTCCAGAAAGTCTTAGAGTCCATGAGAATGAGAATTTGAAATTCTGGTCTCACTTTCCCCGTTTTGATCAGGATTCTAGCATAGAACCTTTGATAAAATCGTTCAGTAATTATAGCTGGGCACCATTCAGTTCTTTTGGATTCATAGCAAAAGAGACTATTCATGGAGGCAGTTAGCCACACATTCCATATATTCCTCCTATTCTTGATCTCCTTCCTCTCTTGCTCCAGGTGAATAAAGACCAATTGTTGTGCCTTGGATGGCCACTTGCAAGCTTTTAAGACCCGGGGCACTACACAATGAACTAGGAGGTAGAACAGAAGCACTAAACACATTATTAGGCCAGTTGACTGAGATGTCTCATGAAACCATGACCCTAAACCTCTAAACCAAGGAGCCAAATCTCATGAGGTATTTGGTTGTACATAAGCAGCCTCAGCAGCTACTCTCTTTTCGTCATCGTAAATGTATCTATCACATAGTTTTTGCCAATTCAGCTGTTTACAGGTGTACTTCCTCCCAATTTTTATCTTGAAGATTTGTAAAGTGATTCTGTAAATTCTCAAGTGAACAGTTAACGTATCGATGTGTTTTTGCTGAACCGTTTGTGAAAGGAAATTGCCAGTATTGTAGCATTTGACTTCTAAATTCTTGAGTGTGCATCTTGGGAATGACTGTCCCTGTCCAGTCACAGTGCTGCACAGTACTGGTAGCACACACAGTACTGTCTGCTCTGTGACCTTAATCAGATTCCCCCACTTGTTCCACAAACGTTTTAAAACTACCAATGTCCTATCAAGGTTCATGCATTTCATCTGATTGTCATATTCTCTAGTTTCTCAAACTAGAACAGTGTCTTAGTTACCTAAACCAAACAAAAAAAACCGGTTGCCGTTGAATCAATTCTGATTCATAGTGACCCTATAGGACAGAGTACACCTGCCCCATAGGGTTTCCAAGAAGCAGCTGGTGAATTCGAACTGCCAGCCTTTGGGTTAGCAACCTAACTCTTAACCACTGTGCCACCAGGGCTCCCTTAGTTAGCTAGTGCTGCCTTAATAAATACTGCAAGTAGGTAGATTTAAAGAATAGAAATTTATTTTCTCATATTTCTGGAGATTAAAAGTCCCTAAAAAAGACCAAGTCTCAAGGTCTTACCCGTGTCAGTTCCTTCTTTAGGCCCCTCTCCTAGTTTCTGGTGTCTGCCTGCGATCTTTTGGGTGTTCCTTTGCCCTTAGACAGATCTTCACGTGGTGTCTGTCTGCCTTGTGGGTGTTTCTGTGTTCTCTCTTTATAAGATGCCACTCAGCAGTGATTACATTTAGGACCCACCTGGCTCTGCTGTGACCATGTTGACAGGTATGGGGGTTAGGACATTTTGGGAGGATACAATCAATAGATTTCCCCACCTTTACATTTTTTCCCTGACATTGGTGCATAATCTGGATTTGTCCCCTCATGTCCCTTGTGCCTCTGTCTCCTGTGTGCTTGCCTACTGTTTCGTAGCCCAGACAGTGAGGCTAACAGACACTCCACAGGCAAAGGTAGCTACTATGCAGTCGCTGGGGTCAAGAGTTAGATTGGTAGCTAACTGATCACCTGCCTTAGATGAGCTCATCTGAAGGAATGGGCCTCATTGTTTTTTCCTCCTCTTCTAGGACTGTGAGGAGTGTATCCAGCTAGAGCCAACCTTCAGTAAGTGCTTTTTTGCTGCCTCTTCCCTGTCTCTTACCTGACCAAAAGGTGAGAGAGAAGGGCGGGCCTGTTCTGTCTGCCCATACGTCCTGTAGCATTTGGGGGACCTAGCCTTCAGTGGGGGTGGAGGATGTTGCTGTGTAGATGAAGAGGTGGGAGATGCAGTCCTTAGAGCTGCATTTTGAGTTTTTGTCTGTAGTCAAGGGTTATACACGGAAAGCAGCTGCCCTAGAAGCAATGAAGGAGTACACGAAGGCCATGGATGTCTACCAGAAGGCGCTAGACCTGGACTCCAACTGCAAGGTGGGGCTGCTGCTGGTACCAGTGGGCTTCCCTGCTTCTGCTGCTCCTTTGTGTTTTCAGTGTTCGTTCACTGAGTCTTCCCTTTCTTCCCTTTCTGCATATGTTCATTTCTTCCTTCTCCATGATCTCTGTTACCGTGGACCTCCTGGAGCAGTGAGCCAGGTAGTGCTAATGCCCTCCTTCTTGGTCTTTGCTGGTGTGCAGGAGGCAGCGGATGGTTACCAACGCTGCATGATGGCCCAGTACAACCGGCACGACAGCCCTGAGGATGTGAAGCGACGGGCCATGGCCGACCCTGAGGTGCAGCAGATCATGAGTGACCCAGCCATGCGGCTCATATTGGAGCAAATGCAGAAGGACCCCCAGGCACTCAGCGAGTATGTAGGGAGGGGGGGCCTGCAGGGGAAAGTGAGTGAAAGCAGTTGGATGAGAATGCCTGAGATAGTTGGGGACGAGACCAGTCTGGGTAGGATGTTTATTGTATAATTCTTCAAGGTTGTTAGCTGGTGGGTGAGCTGAAGGGCTTGGTTTGTATGTTAGTCATGGTAGTCTGAGCTGTCAGTTCACCAGACCCGTTTTGCTCAAGGAAGGTTGTAGGTTAAAGTTCTGTCCGTGGACTCTGCAAGGTGGGAGCAGCAAGGTTCTGACTCAAAGATAGAGAGGCCTTTGCAGGTCTTCTGTGTGGCTGTCTTTGCCGGGACTCCTCCTCAACCCCCTGTTGGCGTCTTGCAGGGGTTTGATGGGGCTTGCTTTAAGGGTAAGGGAGGCTTTTTCAGGTTATGTTTCATTCCAAGTAACTCTGTGTCTTCTTCATTAGACACTTGAAGAATCCTGTAATAGCACAGAAGATCCAGAAGCTGATGGATGTGGGTCTGATTGCGATTCGGTGATGACTTGTTCATCCCCCTTCCCTTTTCCCCATGTGGAAAGAGGAGCTGGGACCGCAGCATGCAGCACCGAGCAGAAGGGATAGAAGGGGAAGAAACAACTTATCTCTGTATATTTATACATGCCTACATGGAAGATCCAGAGACTCGTTCTTGCGTTACTCGTACAGTCGCTGCCTCGGCCCTCCCAGCTCACGCATGGTCTCTTCACTGCTGCCCTCAGTTCCGTGTGTCTGTCCCTTCCCTTCTGTTGCTGTCTCGGCTGCTCTCCCATAGTTGGTTATTTTTATTTGGGACAGTGGGCATGTGTGGGGAGGGGAGGGTGTTCTTCCCAGCCTCAGGTCCCAATTGTCTTCACATTGTTAACTCCACGTCCCTTCAATAAAACAAGCCAGGTGGGCGTGGTTACATGTTGTTATGGTTTTCTGTTTTTGACTTCAAAGGGGCTGCCCTGGGGGCCTCACCTCCTGGGTTGGAAAGGTGTGTGAACTGAGCAGAAGAGACTGGTCTTTTTCAGATGGGGCATTGGGAACTTGGCTTGGTTCCATGGCCTTGCCAAGGTGATCACTAGGTGGTGCTGTCACTCAGTTTAACAGCTAAGAGAGATCCTGGAGGCTCCCCTACCCAGAGGCACTGAGCTCTGGGAGGTTCAGATAAACATTGTCATGGGTCCCCGGCTGGGGCTTCACACTGATCTCAAAGTCAGAAACCACCAGGCCCAGATAATGCTTGACCTGACCCAAGAGCCAACAAGGGTTCCTGTAACAAGGGTTCCTGTTACGAGGAATGCTTGCATCCGTCTGGAGGCTTCAACTGTTGGGTCCACTGCCACACCCCAGATTTAGCAGTGGGTTTGCGTTCTCGAAAAAACTTACTGCTCTCATCTGAGAGCTTTAATGACACCTTCCATGATTGCAACAAACCATGTTTTCTACAACCCTCTTCCTGGACTGGGGAGGCTTCAGGGACAGCAATAAAACTTCCTTATTTGCTCCCAGAGTACTGCTCTCTGGTTAGGAAGGGGCTGAGCCCAGCAGCTGGCCACGTTTCCTGTTGCCTGAGTTTGCACAAGCCAGCTTTTCCCCTGGGAATCCCCTGTTGCCGCATCTCGCACCTGGGTGGCCCAGTCAGCCTCATGTCCAGGGTTTTGCTGCCCTAGGTCACGCCACTAAAGATGCGACTGTCCCTGCAGTGAGCCAGTAGTGAGTGGTGCCCTTGCTCTACTGGAGCCTACATCTTAGTAGCAGATGATGATGCCCTCTGAGGTGACACTTGTTCGGGGACTTGAGCCTTGTGGATACTCAGGGAAAGCACATTCCAGATGGAGGCACAGAGTGGTGGAGTCACATTTGAACAGCTATGAGACTAGGGGCCATGGTCTGGTTAGACTGGTCAATGAACAGGGCCAATGTCTGGTCAGCCGTTCACCTGGGCAGCTCTGAGGTTGAGTTTGGAAAGGAGGCCCTTGTTGGGGGTAGGAAAAACTATAGAAAGGAACTTGAACCCCAGGTGCCTGCTCTAAGGGTCTCCCGTAGTGGTAAGAGTGAGCGTGGGCTTGAGCTGGTTTCAGCTGCCATGTTCCTAAATAACCCTGGCCACAAACCTTTCAATTCCACGGCACTTCCCTCTGGCAGCCCAGGGGTTCCCTGTGGCCCAAAGGACCCAACCTCAGGATAGGGAGAACTATCACTGAACTGGAACTGGGGGCTTCAGCTTGAACTGAGCTTCCCTCCAGGTGAGGGGGGTTTGGGTCCACATGCCATATCCTCCTGCTTCCTGTGCTCTCTGGTAGGGAAGGGCGCACACTGGCATACACGCCAGCCGCTTCCTGCACCCAGGCCTGCCCACTCTGGGGCGGGGCCGGCCAGCCCTCCCACTGTAATAAGGCAAACTCATGGGCTGCCTTCTGAAGGAAGTTCCAAAGAGAAAGCAGAGGGAGACAGAACTCGGGGCCTGCAGGTGTCTAGACTAAGGCCGAGTGGCTGACACCTCCATCCCCTACCTGCAGCGCCCGAGCAGGCAAGGTAAGCAGGGACCCTCTCCTCCTGGCCCGCTTGCCGCCCCTCTGCCCAGCATGCCTCCCCACGCGGCAGCCTGAACTTTCCACTGCCCTGGAGAGGCTTCTGCTGGCTAGGGATGTTCAGATCTCAGTTGTGGGCCACCCTGAGTTTGCACCACTTCAGTGTGGGCCGCTGCCAGCGTGGCTCCGGAGGCAAGCACCGGCTTAGGCAAGCAGATGGGGTTCTGCCCCACTCTGTGGCTAGGCTGGGTGATCCTGAGTGAGCCTCTTCTCACCAGGCCTCAGTCTTCCTATCTGTGAGATGGGAGTAGGTTGGACATGGTCTCTGAGGGTCCTTTCAGCTCAACCACCATGATGGTGAGTGGGCCTGAGGTTTGTCCAAACAACTGCATGCCCCGTCATCTGCCATGGGCATGCTGGCCTGCGGGTACTCCACTGCCTATCCAGGGGACCGTGGGGCTCCTGCTTAAACACAGCACGCCCCCGCTTAGCCCCCAGCCACCAGCCCACCTTGGCTCCTGCCCACCCTCCCCTGCAGAAGCAGCCGCAGCCATGGCAGGGATGAAGACAGCCTCCGGGGACTACATCGACTCGTCCTGGGAGCTGCGGGTGTTTGTGGGCGAGGAGGATCCTGAGGCAGAGTCGGTCACCCTCCGGGTCACGGGGGAGTCACACATCGGTGGGGTGCTGCTGAAGATCGTGGAGGAGATCAGTGAGTGCCCCACTGCCCCGAGCTGGGCACCATGGGGTCGCTGTAGCCAGCATCCCTGAGCACTTCCGGGCCACCTCTGCTGTGCAGCTCACGATAAGGGTGTCAGTGACTCAGGCACCAGCTTAATCATTCGGTTCCAGAAAAGACATTACCCCAACTTCCTCTCCCTCCCCCTGTCTTCCCTCCCTCCCTCCCACTTGAGCTGGTTCTGCTAAGTCCCCTAGGAGGGGACCCCCACCCTTCACTCAGGGAGAGAAGGTGAGGCCTTGCCTGGGCCCAGGCAGAGGCCACACTCCTGGGGTCTGTGCGGAGGCCAGAGGGGGCTCCCAGGGGCCTGCTCCCACACTCCCTCCCCCGGGCGGAAGGCCTCGAGTTGTGAAGGCCCAGCCTGGGTGGGAAGGCCCTGCCCCCACAGGAAGTTACAGCAAAGCAGATTGTGGTATCAGCCATGGAGGCGCAGGCCCATGACAGAGGCTTCTCATGGGCCTCCGCTGCTGGGGGTGGGGGCTGTCCTTCCTTGGAGGCAGCAGGCGCTCACTCCCATTATTGATATCCAGAGCCGGAAGGCAGGCTGGGCCTCCACAGATAGTCCCAGCCCAGAGCCTAGATCCCAGCCTGGGGATGGGGGAAGGGAAGGCTACTCAGACCCAGGCGACGCACACGTGTCCATGTGGGGAGGGAGGCCAGTCTGCTGCGGACAGGGTGGCCCCAGCCCAGCCACAAGAGTGAGGCGCCAGGGGAGCTTCCAGAAGGCAGGGCCCAAGGAGGCTGTGAAAGCAGAAGTGGGGAACAGAAGGGTCCCTGAGGAGACTGGGCATTGGACTGAGTCGCTGAGGTAGGCATGACTGAGCCCAGAGCAGAGAGGCATGAAGACCCAGCACCCCACCAGAAGAGCTGGCTGGACCCAGGGCGTGGCACCCAAGCAATGCAAGATGCCTAAACATGGAGTCAGACAGACCTGCTCCTCCCTCCACTGCCGGGATCCCCTAGGGCAATAGGGGTATTTTCCCCAACCTGTCCTACCTCGTAGCCATTCCTAAGTGCACCAGGCTAAGCCCTGGCCACCTGGAACATGGCAGGCAGGTGGGACTGACCTGTCAGCTGCCCTGCACAGTGCTGGGTGTCAAATAGGGAAAACTATCATGGTGCCTGGAGCAAAAGAGGGGCCACGTCCAGCCCGGGATGGGGAGACATCCCAGGAGAACCGATTCTTAATATGAATCCTAAGTGGTGGACACAGCAGGGAGGAGCAAGGTGCTGATGTTGGGGGGCCAGGGTGTTCTGAATTAGAGCCTCCGGGCAGATGAGGACCCCTGAAGCGTGGACAAGAAAGGAGGCAGTGACGGTACCCTGACCAGCTCACAGAGGGTCTTAAAGGCCACCATACAGTGTCTGGACTTTATCCTGGAGGTGAAGAGTAGCCCCTGAAGGTGTTGCCCTGGCAGAGAGGACAGGCCTCCTGAGGTCAGGTGTGAGGAGGGAGGGAGGGTGGCTATTGGAGGTGGGATTGATAGCAATTAAATGTGGCAGCTAGAAGCAAAAAGGATGATGCTCAGGCCTTGGCGGGAGGGTCGTTGTCACCCAGCCTTGAGATGCAGAGGGGCTGATGCAGAGGAAAAGTGGCGCGTTGGTCCAGTTTCAGGTGGGCGATTTTGGGCTCAGTGACTGAGGGCTGGGACTAGGGGTCATGGCCTTTATGTTCCCAGTGCCTGCACAGGGCCTGGAAAGCAAAGTCTTCTGGAATGAAGGAAGCCAGTGGACACACCCCATAGCCAGTGGCCTGGGGAGTTCTGGCCTGGGGTCAGGGAAGGGTCTGAGCTGGAGATACCTGATTTGGGAAGCCATAGGACAGCCGTGACCCCCAGAAAGAGGACGTGGCTGTGGAGGGGGAGGAGGTTCCTGACTGAACCGGGGGAAAGGACATGTAGGGGGCAGGTCATGAGAAGAGGCAAAAGAGGCCAAAGAAGAGTAAAGAGTCAGAGAAGAAGGGGAAGTGGGCACCCCCAAGCCAGGCGAGGGCATGGAGGCAAGGAGGGTCAGGAGGCTCGGCGAGGTCAGATGGTATGGGACGAGATAAAGACAAAAAAGTCTCCCTTGGATTTAGCAACACTGGTGACATTAGGGTGGGGGGTGGAGTAGGTGGGGTGCAAGAACCAGACGGAAGAGGATGAGGCATGAGTGGGAAGTGGGGACGGAATAAGAGAACTCACAACCAGGACTGGGAGAAACAGGGCAAGAAAGGGCTTTGTGAACTATAGAGGGCAGTGCACAGGGAGCAGTTGTCAATGATCTTTTGCCTTTGGGTTCCCCTCCCACCAGTTCATGCTCCTGGAGGGAGGATGGAGAGGTGACTGTGTGCCATCCATTCCCGTGTCCCCAGTTCCTAGCTGGATGACAATAATGTGTCGATATTTTTAATATGTGTGCATAAGTATGTCACAAACACTACGCACTTACTATGTGACAGGCATTGTCCTGCCTCCATGGTAAATAGTAACTCACTGAACCTTCACCACTGCCTCTGTGCTCAAAAAAATTATTACCCACCCCTGACCAAAAAGAAACCGAGGCACAGAGAGGATAAGTGCCTTGCCCAAGGTCACAGAGCTAGCAATCACTAGATAGTTACAGATCGCTGGCTCTGTGCCTGGCACTAGCCCTGAGGATGTGGCGGGAGCAGGACAGACCCAGTCTCTGCCCCCCTGGGGCCCTGGGAGTGCAGGAGAAAGGTCATTAAGCCCTGAGCGTCAGGGCAGAGGTGAAGAAGGCTGGGCAGGGTGCTCCAAGGCTGGTACCTTCACACTCTCTTCCCTGGCCCCCAAAGAGCGCAAGCAGGACTGGTCCGACCACGCCATTTGGTGGGAGCAGAAAAAACGGTGGCTGCTGCAGACCCACTGGACGCTGGACAAGTACGGGATCCTGGCTGACGCCCGCCTCTTCTTCGGGCCCCAGCACCAGCCAGTTATCCTGCGGCTGCCCAATCGCCGCGCCCTGCGCCTGCGTGCCAGCTTCTCCCAGCCCCTCTTCCAGGCCGTGGCTGCCATCTGCCGCCTCCTGAGTGAGTGGCCAGGCGGCCCCCCACTCCCTAGCCCCCGGGGTTCCAGCAGGTCCCGCCCTCTCCTGGCCCAGCTGCTATCACCTTGTTCTCGCTCTCCTGTCCCCATCCTGCATGCAGGGCCCTGGCCTGCCCCAAGGTGCCCATGGGAGGGACTGGAGTCCCAAGGCAGGACCCTGGCCCTCTCTGAGGCCCCAACTCCCCTCAGGTATCCGGCACCCTGAGGAGCTGTCTCTGCTCCGGGCTCCTGAGAAGAAGGAGAAGAAAAAGAAGGAGAAGGAGCCAGAGGAAGAGGTGTATGACTTGTCCAAGGTCGTCCTGGCTGGGGGTGAGCACAGGCGGGGCGGGGGACAGGCGGTGGGCCGGGGCCGGAGCCCGGCGTGGTGAGCAGGCACTGTTAACCCGCCTGCCCTCCAGGAGTGGCACCTGCACTGTTCCGGGGGATGCCAGCCCACTTCTCAGACAGTGAGCAAACCGAGGCCTGCTACAACATGCTGAGTCGGCCCCAGCCACCGCCAGACCCCCTCCTGCTGCAGCGCCTGCCGCGGTCAGGCTCCATGTTGGACAAGACCCAGCTCCACAGCAGGTGCCCTGCCCTTTGGGTCAGCACCCTTGGGGCCGTGTCCCCCGTGTCTGTGTCTCCTGCCCAAGGCACACCCTCACCCATGTCCTGGCTCACCAGGCCTTTCCTCTCTGTGTGCTTGTCCCCAGCTCTCCTGCCTGCCCCCTCCCCCGCCACACCTGGTGTGGCCCTGACACTCCTGTGCTGTGCCCAGGTGGCTGGACTCATCGCGGTGCCTCATGCAGCAGGGTGTCAAGGCCGGGGACATGCTCTGGTTGCGCTTTAAGTACTACAGCTTCTTCGACCTAGATCCCAAGGTGGGCCGGGGTTGAGCCAGGAAGAAATGGGGATCTGGAGTCAAGGAGACAGGGGGGCCTGGGGATTGTAGAGACTTGAAGGAGTCTGTCAGTCTGTCCATTTGTTGGCCTGGCCTCTGTTTATTAACTGCTCAAACGCTGTGCCGGGGCCTGGGCTGATGCCAAGGCTGTTGTTGCCAGTTGCCATTGCGTTCATTCCAACTCAAAGTGAGCCTGTGTGTGTCAGAGCAGAACTGCGCTCCGTAGGGTTTTCAAGGCAGAAGCAGATCGCCAGGCCTTTCTTCCGAGACACCTCTGGATAGGTTCATACCGCCAACCTTTTGGCTAGTAGTCAAGTGAATACCATTTCACCACCCAGGGACTGGATGCTAAGGCAAGGATAGCCAAGTCTCCGCCCCTGTTTCTCAAGGAGTCATGGAGAGAGAAATGACTCCAGATCAGTGTAGACAATAGTGGGGCTACACTGTCAGGTGGGAGAGGCCCAGGGAAGGCTTCCTGGGGAGGTAGCAGCACTTGGACCTGCAGGACTACGGGAGGGAAAGGGGAGGGGCTTTACAGTAGGAACTGACATTCCGCAAGCTCCCTGCACCTCACCATCCCCATGGGCAGCCAACATGCTCCATGCACCCATCATAAAACCTCGCAGGCCCCCACAGGCCACTTACCCGTCCCCCGTTTCTCTGCTCCCCTTCACTGCAAAACTTTTAAACATAGTTCTCTCCAGAACACCTGCTGTCCTGTGTCGTGGTTCCCCCGAATCTTGCCTCCTCTTTCCAAGACCCTCCCGCCGCTGGCCCCTCAGCTCCCTCTCTCTCTTCAACCAAATTCACTCTGGTGCCCCAAGTACCATGAGGTTTCTCTGCTGGGGCTGGGGCTGTTGTGGATGTTCCCGGCTGGTGTGAGCTCGGGTAATCCCCCCTCCACCCTTCCCCTGCTCCTTTCCAGAGTTTGTCCCCAGCCTGGGTACAAACGTGCTCACTGCACCCAGCTAAAGGCTCAATGAGAACCCTCTGCTGATCTCCAGACCTTTGTCTCTGAGCAGCGCTCTCCACTCCAGTACTCTGCACTGTGAATTCTAGGTGCCTTGGACTCCCCAAATTCTCAACTCAGGGGACATGCTGGGCTCTGTTTGGGTTCCTCCTCCCGCTCTGCAACTCTGCAGCAGCAAGCTGCTGCGTCTTGGGGCTCGTCTTGATCGTTTCTCTTCCCCTAGGACCACTGTGCTGTGCAGCCTGCTGTGCAGTGTCCAAAAGCCATTTCGTCTTTGTTGTTCTTTTTGCTTTGTTTTCATTGTGGCGAGTATATAGGCAACGAAACATTTGCCATTTCAACAATCTTCGCGTTAGTTCACTGACATTAAGTATGTTCATTACGTTGCTCAACCATCACCCTTACTCATTCCCATATTTTTTCAATCCCACTTCACAGAAGCTCAGTGTCCCCTAAGCATTGTGTCTTCCTTCTCCCACCTCTTGTTTTTTAATTAATTTTTATTTTTGATGGCTTAAAGAGTTAAATAGTCCTATTGTTGTTATGTGCTGTCAAGTTGATTCTGACTCATAGCAACCCCATGTGACAGAGTAGAACTGCCCCATATGGTTTTCTTGGCTGTAACCTTTATGGAAGCAGATCGCCAGGTCTTTCTCCTATGGAGCTGCTGGGCGGGTTCGAACTGCCAACCTTTTGGTTAACAGCTAAGTGCTTAACCATTGTGCCATCATCAAACCAAAAAAAACCCCACCCGTTGCCATCAAATTGATTCCGACTTGTAGTGACCCTATAGGACACAGTAGAACTGCCCCATAGAGTTTCCAAAGAGCACCTGCTGGATTCGAATTGCCAACCTTTTGTTTAACAGCCGTAGCACTTAACCACTATACCACCAAGGTTTCCATCAGGGGTCCTTTAAATAGTCCTAGCAGGTTAGTAGCCCTGGTGGTGAAATGGTTAAGTGCTCAGCTGCTAACCAAAAGACTGGCAGTTCGAATCCACCAGCTGCTCCTTGAAAACCCTCTGGGGCAGTTCTACTCTGTCCTATAGGGTTACAATGGGTCGGAATCAACTCGATGGCAGTGATTTGGTTTTTGTTTTAGCAGGTTAGTAATAATAATCGCAAAAAAAAAAAAGGTTTCCTTTGCCACCTCTACTTATCCCAGATTTCTGATCCCTAGATACTGTAGATTTTGACTCTGTAGCTGTTTCTTCTAGTGCTTACTTCTATATGACATGCTTATATTTCTATTTGATTTTTCAGTTCCACATGTTATTTATTGACTTAGTATGAAAGACGAAAATTGAGCTGTCTTACACACCCTCTCCTCACAACACACACATTTCCTTGCCACCGTCCGATAGAGTTGTGTTACGTTTTTGTTAGGCGACATCAAGTCCATTCCAACTTACGGCAACCTCATACGTTACAGAGTAGAACTGCTCCACAGGGTTCTTGACTATAATCTTAAAGGAAACAGATCACCAGGCCTTTCCTTCTGTGGTACTGCTGCGTGGGTTCAAATCAACAACCTTTATGTTAGCAGTCAAGCGCAAACCATTTGTGCCACTTGAGGGCCTTAAGTTTTTGGTTGAAACAACATGATAATAACTGTAAATAGTAACACATGTAAATAGTGTTCTTTATTAAGCCACAGAGCGTATCTATGATCACATTTCCTTTCTCGGTCAAATTTACTTTTTTTTCTACTGTCTGTCTATATCTAGAAGAGAGGCCCCAACAGGCTAGCAGGATGCTCCCCGTGTGGCTGTGGCTTGTCATTGTAGATCTTTAGGATGATTGGGCAGGGATGTCCCTTAATCTAGCCCCTACAACATTATAACCCAGTCATCAGACTCCTTTCAAAACAGTCATTCATACTAGAATATCTATCCCTGTTATTTCCTTCTTGGGAACATGGAATGGTAACACTCTAGACTCACCGCATGACCTTCGTCCTTGGACTTCCCTTTACCATCTTCTGAAAACAAACAAACAAAAGAAAAACAAACCCACTGCCATCAGTGCGATTCTATAGGACAGAGTAGAACTGCCCCAGAGGGTTTCCAGGGAGGGCTGGTGGATTCGAACTGCTAACTTTTTGGTTAGCAGCCGAGCTCTGAATCACTTTGCCACTAGGGCTCCACCATCTTCTTAGGAAGTCCTATATTGGACTTCTTGTTTGCTGGATCTCTTGCGTTCCTCTTTCTTGATAGACTCCCTTGTTTTGGTAGAGGACATATTTCAATAGCTTCCTCTAAAATGGTGCATGAAACATAAATGTTGAAATCCTGCATGTCTGAAAAAGTCACCATTCTACCCTCACTTGCGTGATAGTTTGGCTAGATATAGAATTCTAAGTTGGAAACATTTTTTATTGCTGTGTAGCAGTTCTTTATGTTGATATACCGCAATTAATTTATCCATTCCACTGTTGATGAACCTTGCACAATTTCCAGATTGGGGCTATCGTGAATAGAGATGCTATGAACATTCTAGTGTATGTCTTTAGATGAAGATATATACATGTTTCTGTAGGGTATATACTCAGAAGTGGAAATGCTAGGTTATTTGACAGGTGTTGGTTTAGCTTTAGTGTTGTTAGATGCTGTCGAGTCCGTTCCGATTCATAGCAACCCTACGTACAACAGAAGAAAACACTGCCTGGTCCTGCACCATCCCCAAAACCCTTGTTATGCTTGAGCCCATTGTCGCAGCCACTATGTCAACCCATCTCCTTGAGAGTCTTCCTCTTTTTCACTGACCCTCTACTTTACCAAGCATGAAGTTCTTCTCCAGGGACTGGTCCCTCCTGATAACATGTCCAAAGTACATGGGATGAACTCTCGCCATCCTTGCTTCTAAGGAACATTCTGGCTGTATTTCCTCCAAGACAGATTTATTTCTTCTTCCGGCAGTCCATTGTATATTCAATATTCTTTGCCAACACCATAATTCAAAAGCATCAATTCTTCTTCAGTTTTCCTTATTCACTGTCCAGCTTTCACATGCATATGAGGCGATTGAAAACACCATGGCTTGGGTCAGGCCCACCTTAGTCCTTAAAGTGACATCTTTGCTTTTTAACACTCTAAAGAGGTTTTTTTGCAGTAGATTTGCCCAATGCTACGCATTGTTTGATTTCTTGACTGCTGCTTCCATGGGTGTTGATTGTGGATCCAAGTAAAATGAATCCTTGACAACTTCAATCTTTTCTCCGTTTATCATGATGTTGCTTATTGGTGCAGTTGTGAGGATTTTTGTTTTCTTATCTTGAAGTGTAATCCATACTGAAGTGGTCTTTGATCTTCATCAGTAAGTGCTTCAAGTCCTCTTCACTTTCAGCAAGCAAAGTGTGTCATCTGCATATCACAGGTTGTTAATGAGTCTTTCTCCAATCCTGATGCCACGTTCTTCTTCATATAGTCCAGCTTCTCAGGTTATTTGCTCAGTGTACAGATTGAATAAGTATGGTGAATGGATACAACCCTGACGCACACCTTTGCCGACTTTAAACCATGCAGTGTCGCCTTGCTGTGTTTCAACAACTGCCTCTTTGTCTAAGTACAGGTTTCTCATGAGCACAATTAAGTGTTCTGGAATTCCCATTCTTTGCAATGTTATCCATAATTTGTTTTGATCTGCAGCTTTAATAGATAACTGCTAAACAACTTTCCAAAGTGGTTGTACGAGTTTACACTCCAATTGGTTGGGTATGAGAGCTTCATTTGTTCTACGACTTCACCAACACTTGGTATTTCCTATATTTTTCATGATAGCCATTCTGGTGGGTGTGTAATGGAATCTCATGGTTTGTTTTTGTTTTTGATTTTTCCTTTAACAGCTTTATTGAGTTATGATTTTTATGTCATGAAAATCACCCATTGTAAGTGTTTGATTTGATTATTTTTAGTAAATTTGTACTGTTGTGCAACCATTACCACAATCCAGTTTTAGAACATTTCCATTGCCCCAGAAAGTTCTCACGTGTCCATTTGCAATCAATCCCCCTCCCACACCAACCTTAGACAGCCGCTGATCTGCTTTTTATGTGGCTTCAATTTTCATTTCCCTGATGACTAATGAAGTTGAGACATTTTTCGTATAGTTATGAGCTATTTGGAAATCCTTTTTTTTTTTTTTTTGGATCAAGTTTCTATTAGTCTTTTGCCAATTTTAATATTGAGTTGCTTGTCTTTTTCTTATTGATTTGTAAGAGTTCTTTATATATTCTGGATATGAGTATTTTGTCAGGTAAATATATTGTGAATATATTTTCCCAGGCTGTCCTTTGCCTTTTCATTCTCTTAATGATTTGATAAACAGAAGTTCTTAATTTTAACATAATCCAATTTATAATTTTTTCTTCTATGACTAATGACTTTTGTGTCCTGTTTAAGAAATCCTTCCTATTCCAAGATCACAAAGATGTAGCCTCCTGTTTTTCTGTAAAGGCTTTATTGTTTTAACTTTAATATTTAGATCTGCAATCTATCTGTAATTGATATTTGTATATGGTGTGTGGTAGGGGTCCAAATATATTTTTCTTACTTATGGGTATCCAGTTGACCCAGTGCCACTTATAAAAAGAGCGTCCCTTCCCCCAATGAACAGCAGCGTCCCCTTTGTCTTAAGTCAGGTAAGTGTATATTTGTGGGTCTCTCTCTGACTCTCTTCGATTCTGTTGGTCAGTTTGTCTCTCTTTGCCAAAGCCACACATTCTTAATCACTATAGCTTAACAATTATGTTCTTTTGTAAAATGACGTCCTGTTCTTGTTTTATCTCTACAAGAAATTTGATTAGTGTTTGAAGTTTTCTTCTGCTTCCTATATTGTCTTTTTTTCCCTGTAATCTCTCTTTCCTTCACTGTAGTTCATGCTAGCAGCTTTCCTCAAATGTGGGTGAACCTTGCCTGTCCACTCATATTTAAAAGTGAGGCTCTAAGATGTTGATTGGAAACCTTGAGTGTGTGAATAGGACTTGACATTTTGGGGACCTCCTGTGGGCGACTGGGCAGGGATACCACTCTTGATGGGGTATTCTGTTTGGCTGATCAGTTTCTCAGAGATGAACCCTCTAATGTCCTGATTGGGGATAGAAGGCTTACTGTCAGTATTTTGGGTAACAAGTGGGAAAGGGCTGGGGCATGTCTCACCCTTCAGAATCCAACTTTCTCTGAATTCATCTGTTTTCAGCATTGCGAATCCCGAATCCCCTCACCTAGCTGTGTGTGGGGCGCCAGGTGCAGACATCCTCTGATTCAGCATCTCAGGGCTTCTGCAGGTGCCAGTGGGCCATCATCTGAGTGCAGGGAGTTAGGGAGGGGACCTGTTCCTGTTACAGACTTTCTACCCATCCTCCTCATTTCAGCCCAACCTTGCCCCTTGTCCGCAAGATCTAAGTCCAGAGCCTGTCCAGGGTTCTGCCATGTGAGCTGGATGCCTGTGTTCAAATCTTTGTGCTTTTTGCTGCTTGTTTTCTGTCTATCTTCCAAACCCATTAGTGTCTTTAGCACAGAGCAGGAGAGGAAAAAAGAAGTGAGATCGCAGCTTTCTGCCCTGTAACCCAGTTTCCGTTCATGTTTTTGCTTTCCATCTTCCAAATTTTGTTGGCATCTCTCATCTGCTATTGTCCCCTCTCTCTTCTTTGTCCTTTTGGGTTTACCTTTTGTATGCGTTTACTATCCATTTTGGTTGAGTTTCAGAGGGAGCATGGGGTTGATCTTCTGTGGGTAACTGGGGTCCCCTTTGGGCCTTCACACTCCCTGTTCCTTCTCTCTGGAATGCTGTTCTTATCACTTTTCCCACTAGGGGCCCATTGTCATCCCTGAGGTCTCAGCGCATGCCAATATGTCACCTCCTCCACAAAGCCTTCCCTGACTGCTTCCCCTGTAGAAGAGCCTCCCACACCTCATTCCATGCTCTCTCATCACCATCAAATTTGCATTTGTGGTGGCGTTGAGAAAGCTGCCATCATGGAAGCTATTTCCTTTATAGCTTCTATCACACTCTTTTTTTTTTTTGTAAAAATTCAACTATGCCTTTTCTTTTAACTTTATTGCAGTGAAAATGTACATAACAAAACATACGTCATCTCAACAATTTCTACATGTACTATTCAGTAACATCAATTACATTATTCAACTTGTGCAACTATTCCCGCTGTCCCTTTCCAAATCATTCCACCACCATTAATGAAGTCAATGCTCCGTAAGCAAAGATTCCCCTTTTCCCCCTCCCTGCCACTAATAACCTTTAGTTTCTATATATTTGCTTATTTCGTATACGTGAGATCATACAGTGTTCCATCACACTCTTGAATCACTTTACTTATTGACTGATTGGTTTACTCAATCTGCCTAGTGCCCTCAGCAGCATGCTGAGCGCACAGTAGGCACACACAAAACTGTTGTTAATCGAACAACTGAGCAAAGGTTTACAGGCACGAAGGTGCCGTTTGCCTGGTCAGTAAGGGGCTGGCAGGCTGCAAAGGTAGGGTTGGAGGCTGCTCCCATGTGGGGATACTGACTGAGCTGACCTGTGAGGAGGGCAAGGCTGAGGGCCAAGGCTGGCAGGGCGGGGTGGGCAGGGTGCTTTGAGCGCTTGGCATCTGACCAAATGGGCCTCCCGTCCCCCACTGCAGACAGATGCCGTGCGGCTGACACAGCTGTACGAGCAGGCTCGGTGGGACCTGCTGCTGGAGGAGATTGACTGCACCGAGGAGGAGATGATGGTGTTTGCCGCCCTGCAGGTGCCCGGCAGGCCTGGGCCAGGGTGGTTGTGGGCGGGCAGAGCAAGCAGGCATGGCAGGCCAGAGTGGGCCCTTTCTCCAGGGCGGCCCAGCTGAGGAGGCCCTGTTGGGCAGATGGGCTGCCAACTCAGTCCTCTCTGGCCCTGCGCCCCACCCAGTACCACATCAACAAGCTGTCGAAGAGCGGGGAAGTTGGCGAGCCAGTGGGCAGAGACTCAGGGCTGGACGACCTGGATGCAGCCCTGAGCAACCTGGAGGTGAAGCTAGAGGGGTCGGCACCCACTGATGTGCTGGTGAGGAGGGGCTCAGGTCAGGGGGTGGGGTCAGCCTCCGGCACTGGGGACCCAGGTCTCCCTCTGACACCCCTCCTCCCACAGGACAGCCTCACCACCATTCCAGAGCTCAAAGACCACCTCCGAATTTTCCGGTGAGTTTGGGCCAACGTGGGTAGCCCTGCAGAGGGGCCGGTCTGGAGAGAGGAGGGAGGGAAGGAGGTGGCCTTTCACAAACTGCCCCCTGCACCCCCAGGCCCCGGAAGCTGACCCTGAAGGGATACCGCCAGCACTGGGTGGTGTTCAAGGAGACCACCTTGTCCTACTACAAGAGCCAGGACGAGGCCCCTGGGGACCCCATTCAGCAGCTCAACCTCAAAGGTGAGTGAGGAGCGGTGGCCAGGACGGGGCAAGGACAGAGGAGGACTGGGGTCCCAGCTGGCCCCAGAGGGCTGGGCGGCTTAATGCTCTCACCCAGCCTCAGTTTACTCCTGGGGCCCAGGGAACATGCCCCGTGTCCTGGAGTAGCTATGCAGGGCTGGCATTCACACAAATACTTCTCAGATGGCTCCCCTTTCCTGGCCTCTCCACCCACCCCTTCTCTCCCTCCAGGCTGTGAGGTGGTCCCCGATGTCAATGTCTCAGGCCAGAAGTTCTGCATCAAACTCCTGGTGCCATCACCTGAGGGCATGAGTGAGATCTACCTGCGGTGCCAGGACGTGAGTGAGGCCGGACAAGGGCTGGGCCAAGGTGGGGGTCCGGGGCCAGGACAGAGGCTGGGCAGGGGCGGGGTAGGAGCTGGGCCAGGGTGGGGGTCCAGGGCCAGGACAGGGACCGTGCAAGGGTGGGGGCACGGGTCTGCACAAAGCCTCTTAGCCCCTCCCCTTGCTCCCCTGCCCCACCCCCCAGGAGCAGCAGTATGCCCACTGGATGGCTGGCTGCCGACTGGCCTCCAAGGGCCGCACCATGGCGGACAGCAGCTACGCCAGCGAGGTGCAAGCCATCCTGGCCTTTCTCAGCCTGCAGCGGGTGGGCAGTGCAGGCTCGGGCAACCACTCCCAGGGTACTGATGCCTCCACTGAGGGCCTCAACCCCTATGGCCTCGTCGCCCCCCGCTTCCAGCGCAAGCTCAAGGCCAAGCAGGTGGGAATGCGTGGGCTCACTCGTTCCTTCTCCCACCTGTCCCTGGACTAGGCATGGTGGTCCAGGGCAGACACTGTGGCCTCTCACTCTCTCGCCCACTTACTCACTCACTCACACCCCAGAGGCCTTGTCCCACCCTCTGGGAGGGGTCAGGTGCCCACACCCACGTCAGAGCATCAGCTCACATCTTATGAGTGGTGAGAGGTGCACTCTAGCAGCCCCACAGTGGGCACTGCCCCTTCCCCAGCTCAGCATCCTGACTAGGGCAGGCAGGGGGCCTCAGGGGCTTTGGGGGAGGGGACAAGAGCCAGGCGGCTCCTCACCAGGGTGGTCCCACAGCTCACCCCACGGATCCTGGAGGCCCACCAGAACGTGGCCCAGCTCTCTCTGTCTGAGGCCCAGCTGCGCTTCATCCAGGCCTGGCAGTCGCTGCCTGACTTTGGCATCTCCTACTTCTTGGTCAGGTAAGGGGCCCCACCCAGCCCCGCCCTCCCCTGGGCCTGAGATGCTTCCTGCCCGCATCCCAAGAGTGAGTCCTGGCCAGGCACTGCCCGTCCCCCAGAAGCCTCCCTTCCCCTGCTCTCTGTGGACAGACCTCATTGGGGGTACCCTGTGTGCCCCCGCCCCAGGTCCCCTTCCACACATCCTACAAGAGACAGAGCTCAGGCCAGGAAAGCAGGAGATCTGGCTCCCGTCCCGGCTCTGCCATGGACCGTCCCCTCTCTGGGCCTTGGTTAGCTTGTCTGGAGAGCAGGGCTGACCCCGGATACTGTTATAGGTGGGGCCCCCTTTAATTACCCCTGCTTGTCCCAAGATGAGCAAGGCAACAAATGGAGAGGATGATGATAGAAAACACAAAACCCAAAGTTATTACTTGAAGGCGTGGACTATTTGCCTGATGCTGCTAAACGTCCTTATGATGATTATCTTCAGTTCCCCCATTTTCCAGATAAGGAGCTTGAGGCCCAGACAGCCTAGATAACTTGCCCAGTGTTACACGGCTGGTGGGCAGCAGAGTGGGGCGGTGACCGCAGCTCGACCTCCACTGTGATTTCTCACGAGCACTGCGCCACGCTGTGGGGCTCAAGGTCATGCAGGGTGGGGCCCTTGCTCACACTCGCCCCCATGCCCCCAACCTGGGGACCAGGTTCAAGGGCAGCAGGAAAGACGAGATCCTGGGCATTGCCAACAACCGGCTGATCCGCTTCGACCTGGCCGCGGGTGACGTGGTCAAGACCTGGCGCTTCAGCAACATGCGTCAGTGGAACGTCAACTGGGACATCCGGCAGGTGGGCACAGAGTGGGGCCGGGGCTGGGGGCGGGGCCTGACCCCACCAGGACAGGGAAGGGCTGCTCCCGCATCCCACCTTAGCCTCTCCAACCGCCCACCCGGCCGCCCGCCCGCCCTCAGGTGGCCATCGAGTTTGACGAGCACATCAACGTGGCCTTCAGCTGCATGTCTGCCAGCTGCCGCATCGTTCACGAATACATTGGGGGCTACATCTTCCTGTCAACGCGGGAGCGGGCCCGCGGGGAGGAGCTGGATGAGGACCTTTTCCTGCAGCTCACAGGAGGCCATGAGGCTTTCTAGGGCTGTCTCACTGCCTTACCCCACTCACACGTGCCACAGCCACAGCCACTGGGACTCACTGCCCACACCCTCTCCAGGCATTCACCGAGCTCAGCACGTCCACCTGCCTTCACCATGGCTTTGTTCAGACCAGGGTCCTAACTGGGCTAGACTCTGCCACCACCGGGCTGGGGAGGGGAAGAGCCCCCCTTCCGTTGCCAGAGTGGCCAAGACCAATACCCCGACCTATCTGTAGTCCCTGAGCACACCAGGAAGACCAAATGTCGCTACAAGATGATGGCCCATGTTTTCAAACTGGAGTGTCTTTTTGGCTTTTTATTATTATTTTTTTTATTTTATAAATAAATGTTTTATTGCTGGACCATCCGTCCTTCTCTGAGGTTGTGCTCGGGGCCACTCTGACACTCTCCCTCTTCATCACCAGACAAGGAGAGGGGCTTTCCTGAGGTGGAGACAAGAGTTGGTTAGAGAGAGGGAGACCTAAGTTGGGGGATGGAGAAGAGGTGAGGGAAGGGCACCGGCTCCAGGCACAAAAAACAGGGGATGGGGTAGCTCTCACGGGTAGGGCGGAGCTGCAAGGCCTCCTTGAAGTACTTGGGAAGCAGGATGCCATCAGCATTCCCTGGAGTCAGAATTACCCCATTGGCGGAGCGGAAGAAGGGGATTCCATCTGCAATTGAGAGCCAGGGGTGTGACTCCTGTCCTCCCTGAAGGCGTGGGGCAGTCCCTGCTGTGTCCAGGCTCACCTGCCAAGGCCAGGGGTCCATTGATGAACACGGCCACTTCGCAATTGGGCCGCATGCCTGCAGAGACACCCAGAGCTGGGGCCTGGGGCACCTGGGGCTGTAGCCAGCAAACTGGGGCAGGCTGGGGTTCCCTGCTCAGTGTGGAAGGGAGGTTGCGACTATATGCAGGGCATGGGGTAGCCTTGGACAAGGGAGGCTATGACCTTTGGAGGGGGACCTGGGAGGACGGAGTGGCTGGGAGCAGCTGGGGGAGGGCACTGACCACTGGTGACATCAGGGTCCCCAGGCAGTCCTGGGGCGAGGTGAATGTGCGTCCTTCCTCGGCAAGACAGGCCCCTGAGCAGGATGGATGGCCAGTGCTGCCAGAATGTTCCATGGACCAGCACAGGGGGCAGGGCCTGCGGTGTCTCCAGAGGCATCAGCTCCAACTCAGGGACCTGGGATGGGTAGGTGAGCAGGTAGCAGTGAGCCCCCTTCATGGGCAGATGCCTCACCTGGCTCTCCCACCGGGCCCCGGAGCACCCACCTGCAGGGAATGGCCCTGATTGGCCCGGATGAGAGGGCCAGTCCTGGGGTCCCCAGGCTGCAGAGCAAACCGCTGCTTCCCATTGGTGTCCACCACACGCTGCACGTCTTCAGCTGAGAAACTGCGGAACTGGGGCAGCTGCAGGAGGGCGCGCAGGGGCACGAAGCCGTCTGCAGGCAGGTGGAGTATTCAGCGGCTGACCTTGCTCTGGCCTGGGCCGAGGTGACAGAGAGAGCACAGGCCTGGGCTCTGTGCATAAGGGCTTCATCTGTCCCCAGCTCTGTGGCCTTGAGAAAGTCTCCCCTTCCTGGGCCTTAGTTTCCTGAATTTACATGGGCATCCCATATGCATCATGGAGGGTCACAAAGATAAAGTGCTTAGCACAGGAGTGGACACTCAAACATCAGTTGCTCCAACACCCCTCAGTGCCCAGCTTTGGGATAACTCTTCATTCGGTCACTTGGCTGGAGGGGCCTCACCAGCCTGGCCCAGACAGGAGCTCCTCTTCCAGTTTGCCCGACCTGATATGGAGCTCTGGGCCTCAGTCTTCTCTGTATGTGGGGAGGCTGCGCCCTGCCATGCCTTTCTCATAGGGCAGCGGTGGGAGCCACGGGACAGGACAGTCACAGACAGGCTTACAGAGCTCCGGGGCCTCAAGCTGCTCTTCCTCCCCAAGCCTCCAGGACCCTCACTTACCTGTCCCCAGTGGAAGCCCCAGTTTCAGGGCCCCGTGGCGCAGGGCGTAGGACAGAGCCTTGGACAGTTGCACGTCTCGGTCCTGAAAGAGCCAAGGTGGTCCCTAGTCCTTGCAGTGACCCTGCCCTGCTGCCCACCCTGAACCCTGAGTGACCTGCTGCAGAGGGAGATGGATCTCTGGGAACAGAATAACCCATCTGCCCCCCACCCCACCAGCATTTCCCAGGGAGCCACGGCTCAGAGTCACCTGCCCCTCCCCTCCCACCATGAGGGTGGGGGTGGGAGAAGCACACCTGCTCTCGGGGTCTGTGAGCCCTTCTAGCCCTGGGCCCTACTGCTTCCTGCCTCCTTCTTCTGGAGGAGTTCATGGCCAAGACCTGTAGGGATAGTGCCGTGTGGGAGAGGCTTTAAGGACCCTCCCGTGTCCCCAGCCTGTCCAGATAGTCACAAAGCCTCAGAATGTGAGAGCTGGGATGGACATATAGCTCATTAAATTCACTTCCCACCCCTAATCCCATGGTGCAGATAGGGAAACTAAGGCCAGGCAGGCAAGACTTGCCCAAGATCACACTGCGTGCCAGCCCGAAAGCCAAGTCCCCGCGCTCCAGGTTCGCGGCTCCGCCCTGCAAGGTCTGCGTAGGGAGGCGGGGCCGGCCCGCCGTTGGTGCCCGAGCTACCAGGGCAGAAGAGTCAGGGGCCGCATGGACAGACAGACCGACAGACAGAGCAGCGAGGCCAACCACAAACTCACCACTCTCGCCTGCTAGGCGCCTGACCCCGCGGGTCTCTAGCTCCCGGACCAGCCAATGAGAGATCGCAGAGGGAAGGGGCGGGCACTTCCGCTCCAGGGAGGGGGCGGAGCTTGCTGACGGAGCCGGCCTTGAGTGCCGGCCGGAGGCGAAGCCTCGCGGACGTGGGAAGAGGGTGTCGGCGTCGCAGGGATGGAGGCAGGACTCCAGGATTTTGGGGATATGGGCACTTGAGGGTGACTTGACCCAGGACCCCTGGGTGGCAGGGATGCCCGGGAATCCCAGGGATGCCTGGCAGCAGGAGTTCCGGGTCTCAGCGGGGCTCTGGGCTCTGGTGGGGATGATAGGACACGTCACTGCCCAGGGAGTAGTAATCACGGGGTGCAGAAAGGATAATGGTACCCTCAGAAGGTCTGTGACAGAGGCGGCCGGCTGCTGGGCTCCGGGGTGTCTGTGGGGCCCTGGCGGTGACACCCTACTCTGTCCTTCCCCAGAGCTGCTCTGTCCAGACCATGGACCCCGAGGTGTCCCTGTTGCTGCAGTGCCCCCGGGGTGGGCTGCCTGAGGAGCAGGTGCAGGTCGAGCTGAGCCCAGCCCACGACCGTCGCCCACTGCCAGGCGGAGACAAGGTCATCGCTACTGTCTGGGAGAACCGGCTACAGGCCCAGCCTTGGCTCTTTGATGCCCCCAAGTTCCGCCTGCACTCGGCCACCCTAGCACCCGCTGGCTCTCCGGGGCCACAGCTGCTCCTGCATCTGGGCCTCACTTCCTACCGAGACTTCCTGGGCACCAACTGGGCCAGCTCAGCTGCCTGGCTGCGACAGCAGGGGGCTGCCGACTGGGGTGACAGGCAGGCCTACCTGGCCGACCCTTTGGGGGTGGGTGCTGCATTGGCCACCGCCGATGATTTCCTTGTCTTCCTGCGACGCTCTTGGCAGGTGGCCGAGGCTCCTGGGCTGGTGGACGTGCCTGGCGGGCACCCTGAGCCTCAGGTGAGATGCCAGGCTGGGCACAAAGACCCACACTGCTCAGGGGAGCTCTGAGCCCTCCCAGCTTACCCTTTAATGGGGCCATAATGTGTGGATGCAGGGAGGAAGTCCATGGATAATTCGTGTGTGGGCAGGGGAGGGAGGACTGACCTGGTGCTTCTCATGGAGGCTCTGCTCAGGACAACCCCTCTGCCTCCCCATTAGCCCCTACCCCAGACTGTGTTGGGATCCTGGGAAAGGAGGGGGAGGGGCAAAGAAAGAGGCATCCTGCTCCACCCCCACGCTCTGTGTGGTCCTCCCTAGCTGGACCTCTGGTTATCTAAAAAACAAGGATCTGGGTCAGGGGATCACGAGTATTCCACCATACCCACATCAGGCCTCAGGCCGGCAAGTACTGGCTGGAGGACGGAGGGGAAGAGGTGGGCAGTAGGGTCTGAGCTCGACCTCTCACAGGCTCTGTGCCCTGGTGACAACCCCCGGCACGAGGACCTCCCTGGGGAGCTAGTGGTGCATGAGCTCTTCTCCAGTATCCTTCAGGAGATCTGTGATGAGGTGAGTGGGGGGTGGCCTGGACGGGAAGGTGGACATGAAGGGGAGGGGGTAGATCATGCCAGAATTCCACAGGTTTGAGCTGGCATTGAGGGAGGAGCTTGGCTTTGCAGCAGGAGTTCCGGGTCTCAGCGGGGAGGCATCTCACTTGGAATGGAATTCTAGCCCTCATTTCTCTGTGCCTCAGTTTCTTCCTCTATACAATGGAAACTGATAAATGTCTTGCCTATTCCCCCAGGTTTGTTGAAAGAGGAGGAAATCAGAGTCCCATGTATTAAATCTGCTTCCCTTGGGTGGCCCTGGGCAAATTGTTCAATCTCTCTGGGCTCTGTTTTCCCATCTGTGAAACCAGCAGGCTAAAAACCTGACTTTCTGTGATTCTGGACACTTGATCTACAAACAGTAAAATGCTATACAGTGGTGAGGGGCTGTTCTCCACCCAGAAGGGTGGGCACTGACAGGTGGGACCCTGGCCCCAGGTGAACCTGCCGCTGCTCACCCTGAGCCAGCCCCTGCTGCTGGGCATCGCCTGCAACGAGACCAGCGCCGGCCGTGCCAGTGCCGAGTTCTATGTGCAGTGAGTGGGCTTGGGAGACAGGATCCTGGATCCTGGGGTAGATGGTCAGCTGGAGCTCCACAGGGACCCTCCAGGGGCTGGAGACCCACCAAGCCATCCTCATGTCCTTATCCAGGTGTAGCCTGACTTCTGAGCAGGTGAGGAAGCACTACCTGAGTGGGGGACCCGAGGCCCACGAGTCCACAGGAATCATCTTTGTGGAAACACAGGTGTGGGTTGGCAAGCTGTGCTTTTTCTGGATGAGGGGTGGGGGTTGGGACCTGCAAAGAGGTCTGGTGTCTATCTGGGGGGCTGGGCCAGACAGGGACTCCCAGATCTCTCAGGGCCTCACTCCGGAGTCACAGGGCCTCATCTGGGCATGCCTTCAGCCCAAGGGAGAGGGCCAGGGACCTGCTCATCCCCCCACCATATCTCCCTGGGGCGGGTGCAGTGCAAAGGGCTCTGAGGCTCAGGAACCCAGGGCAAGCTCAGAAGAGCGGCATGAGGGCTGGATGTCTGGGTCTTCCCACAGAGTGTGCGGAGGCTGCAGAAGGCCGAGATCTGGGCCGAGCTCTGCCCCTCAGCGAAAGGCGCCGTCCTCCTCTACAGCCGGGTCCAGGGCAGTGCCCTTGGGTCCGCAGCCCTATAACCACAGCCCTGAAGACAATAAAGGACTTTATTCTTGGATTCTGTTGGGGTCTGCTGTTTCTGGGAGACCCTTGGGTGGGTGAGGGAGACAGGACAAATGACTTGAAAGAAAATCAAAAAACAAAACAGGCAGTCTCTGTCCCCGTCTGCAAACGGATTGAGGGCAGTGTCCTCCTTGTCAGCCTCCGCGCCATGGGGTGAGAGGCTGCTCTGTGAAACGTGCCGAGCAGACTAACAGCCACTTCCGCGGAACAGGGCGATGGTAGCTGTCGGAAAGCCTCACTGTGGGTCAGGTCGGGACAGCGGCGGCGACGGGAAGCAGGATCGGTCCCCCCAGGTTCCCAGGTAGGCGTTCGCGCCAGTCTGCACGTCTGCGCGCCTCGGCCTTAGTGGGCGGGCCCCGGCCTCAAAGGCCAATAGGTGTACGGGGCCGGAGTCTTCGCGGAAGCCCGCCCCTTCCGGCCTTACGGGCTGGGTCTTGGTATTTAAGCCAATGAGAACTCGGAGTGGGACCTGAATGGGCCCAGGAAATGGCGGCGGGCGAGGAGTGGGTGAGTGCACGGGGCGGGGCTTGGTTGGGGCTCCTCCCGCGCCCGCCTCCCAGACAGCCTGGGTGGGGAGAGGGTATGGGCGAACAGGCTAGTGGTTAAAGGCACTGAGACCAGTGCGGGGCAGGGTCCCGGACTCCCGTGTCAGAGGCGGGGACAGGTCCAGGACGCTGGGTTCTGGTCCTGAGCAAGAAGGCGCCCCCCCGCCAGGGTTCCGCGGGTTTGCTTCAATTTTCCTTGGCAAGGAAACGGGGCCAGGCCCCTTCCCGGAGTGCTTGAAGTCCGGCCCCATCCTGGTCTCCATGTACTCCTCTGTCGCCTCCTTTCCCCAGCTGCCCGCCTGCCATCATGCCGCCCCTGCTGCCCCTGCGCCTATGCCGGCTGTGGCCCCGCAGCCCCCCTACCCGGCTTCTCGGAGCGGCCGCCGGGCAGCGGTGAGTTGGGCGCCAGGGACCGGGCCCGGTCTTTCAGTAGGTTTTTGTGAGGATCTACCGAGCTTTAGGCCCTGCCTTTGGTGCTCAGATAGTTGAGTCTCCAGCCTGTGCCAGATGCCTTACAGGCTTGTCTCAGGTAACCCTCACCTTCACTGCTGAGGACACTGAGAATCAGAGACTAAGGGACAACCCCAAGGTCATACAGCTAGTTAAATGGCATGCTTGGAACTTGAGCCCAGGTCTTGTTCAACCTGATGTGCTTTCCACACTAGTGGTCGTCAACCATCACTGCACATAAGCCACCAGGGGTGTAGGGGGGAGTTGCAAAAATGCGGATTCCTGGGCCCAGCCCTGGAGATTCTGCTCTGGAGGAATAAGGTGGAGCTCAGGAATCTGGTTTTGTTACAAAGTCTTCGGGTGTTTTTGATGCAACGCGTCTGAGGACCCCACTCTGAAAAGTCCTGATCTGTACCATGCCTGCAACACTCAAAAAGGAAGGAGGGATTTGGAGGCTAGGTCTGTGTTGAGACCTGCCTCAGCCCCTCAGCCTCAAGGAGTGGGGGTTGGGGCCTGCAAAGAGGCCTGATGTCCACCTGGTGGGCTAGGCCAGTCGGGGACTCCCGGATCTCTAAGGGCTTCACTCTGGAACCACAGGGTGTCATGTGGGAATGTCCTCAGCCCAAGGGAGAGGGCCAGGGACCTGCTCAGCTGCCACCATGTCTCCCTGGGAAAGAAGGGTACAGTGCAGAGGGCTCTGAGGCTCAGGAGCTCTGGGCAAGCTCAGGAGGCAGACATGAGGGCTGGACGTCTGGGTCACCCTGCCCAGCTGAGTCAAAGAGTGGGTGTGGCTGAGAGAGGCTGGGAGGGGCAGGATGGGGTATCCTGGGTTCCCTCAGCTCCTGCAAGTTTGGGCCTCTGTCCCCAGGTCTGGCCCCAGTAACTACTATGAACTGCTAGGGGTACATCCTGGTGCTAGCTCTGAAGAAATTAAACGAGCTTTCTTCACCAAGTCCAAAGAGGTACCCGTGCCGCTAAGGGGGGGAAGGGGAAGTCTGAGTCAGATGAGGGTGTGCTGCAAACTCCCAGGAATGGAAGTGGGGTAGAATTGTGTCCCTGACTGATGCCACATTCCCTTAGCTTGCAGGGCAGGGAGTGAGAGGTGCCCAAAGGGGGGGAATCTGGGCCAGGTGGGAGGGAAGGTTGGGTCAGCAGTCAGGGGTCCTGTCTGAGGGGCTGGGCGTCGTTCTCTTGATCTGCCTGCCCACTGTTGACTGAGAAGGCTAGATCAGGGCATATGGTGAGAGCGGGGGCTGGCAGACAGGGAGAGCCTGAACAGGGTGTGGGCAGGAGTCTGTGCTTCCTGACTCTGGCCTTCCAGTGGGGCAGGCAGGCCTAAATTCAAGGGTCGCTTCCCAGCCAGGGCCTCTGGGAGTTATCTGAGCCCTTGTGGGTGGACATCATTGAGGTGGGTCCTGGGAGAAGGGGCATGGAAAGGGAGATGAGAGGAGTCCTGCCCTACACCAGCTGCATCCCGACCGGGACCCTGGGAACCCGGCACTGCACAGCCGCTTTGTGGAGCTGAGTGAGGCATACCGTGTGCTCAGCCACGAGCAGAGCCGCCGCAGCTATGACCACCAGCTCCTCTGGTCAAGCCCCCTGAAGTCTTCAGGAACTGCAGCCCATCCCAGACCTGTCCACCAAGCACGCAGGTACAGCAGTCCTGCCCCCAGCTCGTCCCTCCAGGTCTCCTGGGCAGCCTCATCCCCACACTGTCCCTCCCTCTCTCTCCCAGCAGCTCCTGGGCACCTCCCAACGCACAGTACTGGGCCCAGTTCCACGGTGTGAGGCCGCAGGGGCCCGAAGTGAGGCAGCAGCAGCACAGACACAACCAGCGGGTGCTGGGGTACTGCCTCCTGCTCATGCTGGCAGGCATGGGCCTGCACTATGTCGCCTTCAGGTGCACTCTGCCTCCCTGGGTGGTGGGCATGGGCAGGGTGGGGGAGGCTGTGAGCTCAGCGGGCCATCCCCACGGTCCCCGTGGCCCACACTCTTGCATTTCTCAAGCTAAGAACTTCATTAAACCCCATCTCTGGAGCCTCTTCTTACTTGGCAGGGGCAGAGGGACTAGTGGCTAACATCATTTTCCATTTTTCATAATTTGAACGTAATTCTTTGGTGCCGGCTGCCAGGCAGCACTGGAGCAAACCCAAATTGTGAACACGAAGCAAATGCCCAAAGCTCATGGGATTTGGTTCCTTGGTTTTTGAGGGTTAGGGTCATGATTTCATGGGACATCCCAGTCAACTGGCCTAATAACATGTTCAGTGCTTCTATTCTACCTCTTAGTTCACTGTGTAGTGTCTGGGGTCTTAAAAGCTTGCAAGCAGCCATCCAAGGCACAACAATTGGTCTCTATGCACCTGGAGCAACAGAGGAGGAAGGAGAGTCAGAAATAGGAGGAAGATATGGAATGTGTGGCTAATTGCCTCCATGAACAATAGTCTCCTTTGCCATGAATCCAGAAGAACTGAATGGTGCCCAGCTACCATTACCGAACATTTTGATCAAGGATTCCATAGAAGAATGCTGATCAAAAGGGAGAAAATGCAGGACAGAATTTTGAATTTTCATGGTCTCTAGACTTTGGAGCCATGGAGGTTGGATAAACCCCTGAAACTATTGCCCTGAGATCATCTTTAAACCTTAAACCAAAAATATCCCCAGAATCATCTTATAACCAAACAGTTTAGCTTAACTAGTAAAAAAGGTCTGCCTTGAGCATTTTGCTCTTTTAAGAGCTAGCTAAATGGGATCAAATTGACAACAGCAACTCAAAAGATTAGATAGGAAACTTAGGGGGCAGTGAGTTTAAGTTAATGAGGGAGGAACAACTTAGAGAAGGAGGGTGAAAATGGTTGTACAACTTGAAGGATGTAATCGTCACTGAATTGTACGTGCAGAAACTGTTGAATTGATGTATGTTTTGCCGTGGATATTCTCAACAAGAACAAAATAAATAAAATTTAGAGGAAAAAAAAATGTGGTCTGTGGACCAGAACTGGAGCATGAACTGTTTGTTAACAATGAGATGAGAGTATGGTAAGCATTTAGAAACTTTTATAGCAATTTGAAATAGTAATTTTATGTATGTTCAATCTAATAATTTAAAATAAGACTCATATTCTGTTTAAAAAAGTTGGAGAAGAAGCAAATCACTTTTACTGGCCCTTACCGACACCGTCTGTACTCACTCGCTCACTCAGTCTGACGGTTCCCAGCCACTCCAGCTTTGATTTTCTACAGCAAAAATACTTACAGGCTGATGGCCACTGCCAGCAACCTGCCTTGTTCAGGGATAGGGTTAGATGGACAACCCTTTCTAGTCTCCTGCCAGGATCACTCTGATGTCCAGAGTTGCTGTCACTACCTTCAGCAGGATCAGCCAGGGACCTGGGTCACCACTGGACCCTGGACAAACCCTGGCCCATTCTGTGCCTCTTCTACCTACTGCAGGCAGGATTAGGTTGTCCCACATATGTAAAGCTGTAAGACCCCAGGGTGCGGTGGAGGGGAGCAGAACTTGGGGGACAGCAGGGATGAGGGAACCAGGGTTAATAGTAAACCCCTTGCAGGAAGCTGGAGCAGATGCACCGGAGCTTCATGGACGAAAAGGACCGGATCATCACCGCCATCTACAACGACACGCGGACCCGGGCCAGGTCTGTCCCTGCTCTATCCTGCCCCCTCCTCACCGCCTTGGCACCACCCTCCCGGGTCCCTGCCCCAGCCAACGGGTGCTCTCTCCTCAGGGCCAACAGAGCCAGGCTCCAGAAGGAGCGACTGCAGAGACAGCAGCCGCCACTGTCAGGGCCTCCCCAGGACCCTGGGATTGTGCCCAGGGGCGCTGACCCCTGAGGGGCCGCCTGGACGGGGCCTGCAGTGTGTTCCCTCTTTGCCTTCCTTCCAGGGTTCCCCACTTCCCCGAAACGCGTGCAATAAAGTCATTTTCAGCGCTCCTGTCTGGCTCCCTCCTTCAGGCCGCGCCCCCCGCCCGGGCCTAGCCTGGGGACGCGCCCCGCCCCCGGGTTCTGGCAGCGGCAACCCAGCAGCCCGGCCCCCTGGGCGGTGCGTCCCCTTTCCCCTGCTGCGGCGGGAGGGGGCATGTAGAGGGCGGGCCCCG